AATCTCTGAATTTTAGCTTTATTTTGTATTAAATAAATTTTAAAATTTACGAATTTTGGAAATTTTTTTTAAATTTCTTTATCGGCCAATAGTATCTTGCATTCTAGAGTTTGGTCACTTAGCAGAGAATTTATAATATATGATATATAAAATTCCATTTCCTCGATCGTAATGAAATTTAAAAAGGTCTGCGAGTAGCTTTTTGAAATTACAAAATACCCGCGCGAGTTTCTAACCCCCCTTGCGCTGGCAACTGGTTCGCGGACCATAACGAGTGACCGAACCGTATACAATAATTCGTCGCTTTCTTCTTCTTTCGTACTCGTCGGTACGATGTCACTGGATAGAAATGATTAAGAAGTAATAAACTTGTCATTTTTGTTTCGCCTGGGTTACATTTAAATATACTTAGAACTGAGAAAGTGTTGCAATTTGGCACGTCATTCCAGCGCAAGTGAATGTTAATAAGCAAAATCTTGGTTGGTATTATTATATTGACCACTGGAAAGTGTAACAATTCGGAAATTAGATCCAGACTCTTTCTGTATGTAATTCAACGTTCGTTACCAATCTCAGTGTCGCGCATTTCGCTCGCCAGTTGTGTATTCACGAAACTATGAAAGAACAGTTACTGGAATACCAAATGTACGTAACCGAAACGAGCGTTCGACACATTGTCCGCGTTCCTTTGTCGAATGTCCTATCCGGGGCAGGTTAAACGTGAACTAAAGGGCCCTTTCTTGCAACCGTATTAATGGACGGGCGCGTGTCTTTCACGTAAATCGGAAGCTCGGTTTCCGTCGGAACGGGAATGCAGCGTAGAAATTTTTCATTCGCTGGGAGTGCAGTTGGCTGGCCCGTGCGCCCGCGCCGGCCTGTTGAAAAATTCAGCGGGTTTGCTCGCGAACGAAAGCCGGAAAAACGGCAATGGGACCGGATTGAATGGGCTTCCGGCTTGTTTTTTGTTTGCCAGATTTTTCAGAGATGATTCTCTGATGGAAGACAGCCGTGCGGTGTACGATACCGAAGGGTTGGGAGGAGGGAGGGGGGGGGGCAAGCAAAACGCTTGTTCCGCCCGAAAGTAAACATCCGAACGAGCATTCCGAGTTACGGTAGCAAACAGTAATGGTGAGGTACGCGCGTATCCCTACGGCCTCGATGTTATTTTAGACAGACATCGTGGAAATCGAGCCATTCGCCCCGAAAGTCGGACGTACGCGCGTAAATGATACATGATCGGGCTCCGTTCGTCGCCAATTAATAACTTTCCATCTGATTTTCAAATTGATTCGACAAGAATCTCGATTTCCCTTTGGAAAGTTATAGCTGTGACAATGAAAGATCGTCGACGATTGAAACTGTAACGTAACGTTTGGATTTTTGCAATTTTTCAGAAAATGGTATTTTCTTTCAATTTTTTCTCACTCGCTGCGCGATATAAAGTTATCGAAACGAGACCAAATGAATCGTTATGTAATCTTTTTTTTTTTTACGACGTTAAATCAGTTGAAATTATCGACAATTTTTCATTGTCGGTGATACAGTTATTCGTGGTGAAATTTTAATGTACGAAATATACGTGATGATAGAAATTCTATTTCGTCTGCTTCTCCTTGACATCGAGTAAAAATTCTACAGTAGAGCATAATATTGGTATGTGGAGTATAATACTACAGTGGAGTATAATATTTGACTTGATATTTATGAATTATGTTAAATATTTGAACGATAATTTATATACTCATTTGCAATTAAATAGTAATTTTAATAGTGTATATTTACACAATGTTTGGGTGTAAATTACGTGATTTCCCAGAGATAATATAAATACAAATAACGATAATGAACAGTGAAACGGAATTAAAATCTCTTAGAAATCTGGTCTGTAAGAAGTTGACACACGAGACATATCATTTTGCATTACGAGCACGAGTAGAAATATATCCAGATTACGTATGTTTTCAATTACGAAGATCTACAAATTCATGCGAGCAACCGAACAAATACGAGCTCGACGAAATAAAGTATATCGGGGCGACGCCTTGATTGCAAAGGATTAAAACGTGCCCCGTGAAAATTCTCCAATAAAGACAATTTCATCCGATCGTAAAAGTATCTACGAGCGAAAAATTAATTAAATTCCGTCAAAGTAAAAATATTACTAATGAGAGAGAGAGAGAGAGAAGATGACTTTAAACAAACGGATGGAAGTTTGCCCGAGAAGAGGGAAGAGGGGGGCGCAAAAGGGGTCGTGGGACGATGTAAATGAAAACGGAGAGAGAATCGAAACCGGATCAAGTTCGTTCTCCGTGGATAATTTTCATCGACTCGGAACCGGCTGCCTCATTGCGAGGAATTAATTTCCAATTTCAACTGGAAGCGATAGAGAGAACGAAACAGGAGAGAAACAGAAAGAAGACACAGCACACAGTTTGCAACAGAGAGAGAGAGAGAGAGAGAGAGAGAGAGAGAGAGAGAGAGAGAGAGAAAGAGAGAGGGAGGGAGGGAGGGAGGGAACTGAGATCAGCGAGGTGGGATCGACTTACCATAATTTTGGTAGCAGCGGACCCGCGTTCCCTTCACTGGCTGTTGAATATTCCCTCGCTTATTAGAAAGGGTTTCTGTAATCGACGCCAGACACGAGCGGGTGTCTACCCGTCGCACCGCCAGTCAAATGGATTCCAATTAAAGTAATAACGAATCCGGCCGTACGAGCGTATTCGTCGTCGCAAATAATCGAACCGTGGACCGTGCGTTGTCGCGCGAGACCCGTTCCTTTTCCAATTCGATCCGCCCTGGCCCCCCTCTGTGTGTTACCTTTCTCCGCGGAAACCGGAGGGGGACTTGGAAAGAAACGGCCCCGTGAATGGGCCGACGTCGAATTTAAATCGGCCGAATTAACGAAACGACGAGGCGACTGTCGTTCGACGCGACGATAAATTTCTAGATGGGAACAGGTCCCGGCCAGTTTCAACAGCGCGCCAAATGGTGAAAACACCAAGCCGAATAATGGAAACTTTGACGAAAGTTTCTTTTTTTTTTTCTTTTTTTTTTTTGGCAGCAGCAGCAGTTATTTTGCATTTATACATACGGGATGTTTCGAATAGCTGGGACCAAACGTGGGGAATATAAAAAACCTTTTATTATAAAGTCAATCAATTTCATTATCCGGCTCAGGTGGTCAGCGTTGAGCAATTCTCAATGGAACAAATTATTCACTTGTACGGACTTGTTTATTTATTAATTTTAGAAAAGATTAGAATAAATAGGTGTCAATTGCAGGATAGTTCTTTCAAGATACAAATTTTTGCCTAATTTTCCAATGATATTCGTTGGTACGAAATTCAAAGTTACAAGATGTTTTCGACAGTATATACCTACAGAATAACCCCTACTGCTGAAGAAGTTGAGTGGGTCAAGCTGGCTATTCGGTCAATTTATCAATTTGTCGTTATATCTTCCATCCAGAATTTCATAAAATTTCAAGAAATCGAAGCGTGTCCGTAGCAACAAATTATTACCCGATCTTTAATGAACTAATCCAGGCTCCAGTTTTCTTAAATACTAGAACCAAAGCCTGGGATAGTATTCGATTTGCGGCACATCAATAATAATTGAAAGACGGCTGGCTGTTACTGCAACTATGGGAGCGAAAGTAAAAGGGGGTTTGCGTAAATTTAAATTTCTGCGAAATGGTATCCGCCGATAGAGCGCAGAGAGGCGCTTGTTAGTACGCTGCTGGCCATCAACATAATTAACCTGCCTAAGTGGAGACGCCTGTGTATCATTATTAGTACATGCGCGGCGGATGTTACGGGGTTCGAATGTGCTTACGAGAATTTAGGGCCGCGTCAGGTGTCCTGATTTGGCCACGCTAATGCGAAATATCCAATTAACCGGTAATGGAGCCTTTATCGCATCCGGTGACATCGGCCCGCGGAATTTCAACCGTGCGCGACGCGGCGCGGCGCTGTACCGACGCGGCCCACCTTTGCGCGGTCCACGCGAATTCGGAACGCCGGCTTCGAAAATCTCGAATACGTCTCGGATATCTGCCGCTCGTTTCGCAATCCGTTCTGATAATTGCCGTCTTCTTTCACATTTCGTTGCATCGAACGTTCGTTCTCTGAGGTTGTGCAGCCTCTCAGGTAGCCTGCATCGTTCAATGTAATTAGAAGATCTCGTAGCGTAGTCAGGATCTCGTTCTCGTCTCTGGTCCGTGCCATCCTTTCGCTCGAGATGCCTCGAGTCGAGTGGTTGGAACTGTACGATGTACTGTTTACATGCTGATGAAAAGACGATTTTTTTTTTTACTCTACGATTCAATATCTTTTTCTTTTCCTTAACTGGTTCGAGCTGTTTGGTGTTCAAAAAGTCGATTATTTTTTATATTTGTGTGTATTTTTTTTTTTTTTACGTGTTAATGAAAAGAGAGTGATACAGGACATTTTGATTAAAAAATCTTGTGTTTAAGACTTCTTGTGTCTGTTCTTCCGTAGGTTAAAGAAAAGAGACTTTTCACCAATTTTTCATTCCTTTTCGATGTATCTTAATTCGATGGGATCGACGAGAATGCATACTGGTAAATTACAATAGAACAAACATTTTACGTTTGAAGGTAATGTCTTCGACATTTTTTTGGACGTACATGTATACCTTTGTCGATCCATCAGGTTCTAATACGATGGTACGTGTCCGCGCGTAACGAGACACCCGATACACGGTAACTAACAAGCCAGAAACGAGGAAACACGTTACCCTCTATCATGTCCCTCTATTATCACCCCAATCACAAGTCCTCCGAACATTACCCACACCCCCGGCTCTCTCTCTCTCTCTCTCTCTCTCCCCCGTTGCTCACAAATCTCAACCACATCGAACCTCAGTTACCTTCTCATTTGTCAACCATCCTCGTAACCAACTGTTCGTAATTGCCACGCGTACACACATACGTACACACATCTCTAACAAATTATCTATTCTCTCTTACGGTTTTTCAGTTCGCAACGGCTACTCGTGCGTACCTGTTGCTCTGTCGGAGGGCCTGGACATCCGGTTGAACACAGCGGCCAGGGCGGTCCGCTACGGAGTGAACGGGGTGGAGGTGTGGGCCGCACCCTCGCGCAGCCCCCACACAAATCACACGGTGTACAAGGCGGACGCGGTGCTGGTGACGTTGCCTCTCGGCGTTCTGAAGGCTTCCGCGCCGCCGTCCGCGGTCGCCTTCAACCCGCCGCTTCCGGACTGGAAGTCACAGGCTATTCAGAGGCTCGGCTTCGGCAATTTAAATAAGGTAAGGCGGCGCTCGCGCGCCCTTCTCCGCCCGATTCCCCTCTGATTTATAACGGCCGGCGAAAACGACGATCGAACTTGTCCGCCGGCCACGGGAATGAGATATATTGTGATCCGGCGGCCTCTTTCGTCGCGAGGAGCAACGGCGGTGACGTGGCTCGTGTCGCTTCTTACGCCCGGGACACGTTCCTTTTACGGCCGCCCCGGAGTCTGTTCACTCCGAGGGAATCTCGGATCTCTCCTTCTCTCTCTGCCGAAATTAAAGGCTCATCGCGCGGCCAAACGGGCCACGGCTGTCCGGATCTCTCGACCGATAGCTCGTCCGCCCGAATAAATTCCCCCCTCGCGTCTCCGCCGGGTAATTTACGAATCCGACGTTAGGCACGTCGTGGGAGAGTGCAAGTTCGTTGTTTAAGGAGTTTGCGAATTTTGCTTTTGAATATGGAAATTGGCCGGGTGGTTTTAGATCGGCGATACGCTCGTGAGAGTGATCGTCGGGGATGACTCTGATGGATGTTTGGGGTGTTAGGACGACAGATTTAGGAATGATAGGAATGTGGTCGCTATCCGGGTTCGTGTTCTTAGGTAAATTCGGAAAACGACGTTTCATTGCTTGTCAGTTCGTAAAGTTAACTAACTGCCTACGTTACACAACGACGGCGTTGGTTGTGTAATATTGCACTTACTGGATGTTTGAACGAGTCAACAAGGACACGATGTGTCAAGTGACAGAAGAAGAATGCCACGTGCGCGTTCGGTAATTCAGACCGAGCCTGAAATTCAAGGTCCGCGATGAGGCGGTGCAATCGTATTACGTACTGGTGAATCTCGTAATTCTCTTAAACAACGCGCGAATAATCTGCAAAGAGAATGATTCATGAAAGCGCCGGTGGTGAACGTTTACGTGAGCAACCGTTAAACCAAAGGATTTGCCAGGACCAACGGGTACATAATATTTTCTCCAAACACGGCTTACGAACACTGTGCTCCTCTGTGCTCCCTTCTCGCCTTGTTGAACACAAACTACACATATCTCTCCGCGTTGAATTGAAAATTCAACGAGTCACCCTGTTGAATCAGAGCTCGGCGAATTGTTATTGAAAATCAAGTCGTTCCCCTTTCTCGTATACTTGTACATTTTCACCTTGCTCGCGATCAAGACTAAGGAGAAACTTGCTCTTTGTCGTCTTGGACGTCCAAACTTTCGTTCGACTGAAACTCATCGACGAAACTTCTTGGTCGGGAATAGTCCAGGGGTGGATGATTGTGCGAGTGCTACTACCAAGCAAGTAATTCCCGGGAATCTGTCACGTCAGGTGGTGCTGTGCTTCGAACGGATCTTCTGGGATCCGACCGCCAATTTGTTTGGCCACGTGGGTAGCACGACCGCGTCGCGTGGCGAGCTCTTCCTCTTCTGGAACCTTTACAAGGCTCCGGTGTTGTTGGCTCTAGTCGCTGGCGAGGCTGCCTGCGTGATGGAGAACGTCAGCGATGATGTAATCGTCGGCCGCTGTATCGCCGTCCTCAAGGTAAGTCTCTTTGGGTAAATTAATCTGCGTTTACGTATTTTCGGCTAGTCGCGATGCTGGAAAATTAAACAAGTTCGAATGACTTCTCTCGATGATACGTCGAGTAAAACTTGTAGTACAATACTACCTACGTCACTTATTTCATTTCGTTTCATCGTTTCATATGTATCAATTTCATACAGTTTACTGTTCTATTTCACATAATTTAGTAGTTTCTTGAATGTTCGTTATACAGCGACGAAGCGAAACGAAAGTTCAATACTCAAATATTATCGTTTTATATTAAATTACTGAGTTACTAATTGCTAGAAATTACTAATTACCAATTAAATTAAATTACTAAGATTTTGTATTTTGCAGTCTGCATGCATAATTAAATTGGAAATTTTCAAATCAGATAACTCGTCACTTTGACACTTGTTAGCAAATTTGCTGCTTATTTCTTGTGAAAAAAGAAATTTCATTTTACAGAGTTCTGGATTATCGTGCCACTTGCCTTTTCAAAGTTTCTTCTGTTAGCGATGCAAAGTGTTTCGCTGTCTATCTAAATTATTCGTTCTCCGCTTCTGTAACGTGTAGCCTCTTAAAGTATGCATCGCTGTGTTTCTAGGGTATTTTTGGGAACCAAGTGGTGCCACAGCCACGCGAGAGCGTGGTGACGAGATGGCGGGCAGATCCGTGGGCAAGAGGCTCGTACAGTTTCGTGGCGGTCGGCAGTTCCGGTAGCGATTACGATCTTTTGGCAGCGCCTGTCGCGCCCCCTGCCACCCCTGGTACTCCTCCGCCGCAGCCAAGAGTATTCTTCGCAGGTAAATATATAGTCTCCGCGATATTTTCACTGGCTTCTTTCCTTTTCTTTTTTTTTTTTTTCTTTTTGGCAAGGGAACGAAGTGGACTTTGGCGTCCGCCGGCTGATAAAAACCGGGCAATTCCACGTGAACGCGATGTGAATCGTATCTTTTTCAAGCGGCTAGGTTGTGCTTTTCTCTGCATGGCTTTTTACCTTGAATAGTCTTTTCACAGGGGGTTTAATGGCCTCGTGATAGGTTTAGGAAAGTTGTTTTCGGCAAGAGGGCACTTTTGTGCATCGAGATAAGCACAGTACTTTTCGGAATTTGTGTCTTTTTAAACGTTAATTTTCAATTATAAATTTTACAAGTCGTCGTTGGAACAATTTACGAATATTTCTATAGCTAAACGATTACGTTATACTTTTTTTGTTTGTAAATATTTGCTTAATAACAGTCTTAAAATGTAGCACTTTTTCACCTGGTTACTGCGGCAAAACCAGTTCCGATCTTAATTGTTTCACGCAACGAACAGTTTAAAATTTATTTCTTCTAGTAATAATCTACGATTCGTACTAAAATCTGCAGAAATATCCTCAATATAAACTGACTTTCAACCTACCCGAAAAATCGCGAGTCCATTGCTGAAACCCTCTGGAAGATTGCAATTTCTCTCCTCCCTGTATCCTCCAGCTATTCCACGGTCCCCTAAATCGACCAAGGTCGTCATCTTCAAAGACTTAGACAGCGATAAAGGAGCGAGAAAAAGAAAAAGAGAAACCCTCGCCCTAGAGCTATACCCACGATTGATTCTCTAACGCGGTGGCGAACCGGTCTCTGCTTTCAGGGGAGCATACCATACGAAATTACCCGGCGACCGTGCACGGTGCTTTCCTCAGCGGACTTCGCGAAGGTGGGAGGATCGCGGACCAGCTCTGCGGAAGTCCGTACGCGCCGCCGACGATGCCCGCTTCCGGTGCGGCGCCAACGGCCATGCCATCGGCCACCACCGGCCCCACCTCCACGCCTTAGCGCTCTGCCACGGAAACCACGGTCTTCGATCGATAACGAGCGTTATTATCACAATTATCACAATGTTTCATTGTCGAGTCTATGATTATTCTCGCTTGGACGATCGAGGAAAGTACGGAACGGTAGCTGGAATTTTCTTTCGTTGGAAAAGGCGAAAAAACAGAAAGAAAAAGAGAAAAGAGAAAAAAGTAAGACGGTGAGTTTCGTTCGTTCCAGGCTAAGACCAAAAACCGTTCCAAGCTCGTCTATCGTGTTCCGATCGACAGCACGTATATACGAGCAATCGAGCGCGATCGTGCAATTAGTTAGGGAAATATGTCCGCCAATGGCTAGACCCCATTAATCACGTTCGACGATCGTCATTCGATTGAGCCGCCACGATCCTCGGTCCACGAATCTCGTGGCACTTGATGTATAGTAATTATTGTATAGTAAATGCAATAATAATGTTTATTCATATTACTTATATAGTGACAGGGATTTGATAATCGGAAATGTAATCGAGGATCGTGGTAGGATTAGGTGTATCGACGTGCCCGACACGATTCCCAATTCTCATCGATTCGTCCATCGGTCTTTCGGTAGAATCGTGCGATTATTTATTTTTCAGATGTCGGCCACGGTGAAAGAAATGATAAATAAGCATCGAGGATTCGATGGATGATCGATCGAGACCTGAGGCACATCCATTCACAAGCTGCTACGACCCTCCGTGTAATCGTGTCCCAATTGTTTCAATTCTATCCAATGTTTATTTCAGAAAAAAAAAAAAGAAATCGTTGATACTGGTCCAAAGGATCTGGAGAGGATCGTAGCGATCTTGGAGATACGTCGGTTCATGATAAGAGAGATTCGTGCCTTTGCTACTACGTTCCATCACGATCGTACACATATGTGTTTAGTCTGTATCATATCGTAGTGATCGTTTCATTGTACGTTTAGCATACTCTGTCTCGTAGCAGTTATACTTCGTTCCTTTTTTTACTCGCATTGACGTGCTTTGACCCGCCGATATATTTTCAACCAAATCTTCCTTCTCCATGCTCTATCATGCTTCCTCGAGACTTCTCGATCTTAATCACCCTTCCACTCACTTTCAGCTCTTAATTATTTAGATTAAAATTCGTTTTAATCATTATAAGCCAGAACACGCGTTATTTTTTTTTTTTTTTTTTTTTTTTTAAAGAAGAAAAAGAAAAAAAAGAAAGTCGTTCAATGTTTGACAAAGATGTTCGATGTTTGAGTGTTGATTGTCTATCGCAAGAATCCCGGACGAACTCATTTCTACACTGATTACAGCGATCTTTACACTCGATCTCTCGCTGATCGATTCGGCGCTCGAGAACATCCATCGCCGCGAGTGCTTTTCGAACGAAGCTCAAACCGATCGAGAACTGTTCGAAAACTTTGGCAAGGAGACACGCTAATGTGTGTGATGACTTTGGTTCAAACTCGATTTCATTGACGAACCGGGCTCATTATCGAACGCACGGCCGATTGATCAGCGAAGAACGGAATTCCTCTAGCGATAGCCAGATTCACCCACGACTTTAGTCGACCGCTATCTAGAAACAAATTGCGCGGAGCACGCGATAAACGTCGTTAACAGCTTTACAGTTACATGAATATTCCACGTGATAGAATGTTCCGACACGCAAGCAATCATTAAAGCTACTTCGTGTCACTGTACTTCATGAAAAACGATCGGAGCTTAGTTTTCACCGAAGCAACTTCTTGTTGCTTTTTGAACGCCGAACACACGAAGAAACGTGAACAAAGGTTTCTACTCGGTTGCTTCGGTGAAGACGTAGCTTAATATACGTTGAATTAACTGTATGTTGCGGGTCGTTAACAACGTCGACGTCTTGGTCACGATACCACCCTATACACCTAAGTACTGTTGAGAGCTGAGAAGATGGTAGCGATTGGTTGGTCCATTAGAAGATCGACAGCGTCGATTAGACAGTAGGTAATATCTACTGAAATATATGACCAAGAGGGTCTCGGCTGCCATTTTTTCAGCTGTCAACTATACGAAAATCTGTAGAGATTAATCGAAAGTCCTCGATTATACACATCAGCTATGCGCCTATTCCTCTTGATTAAAGGCAGAGAGTTGTTACGATACCAAGGAGAAGCGTTGTTTCCTATTTCATTCGCATCGATCACCCAACCTGAACTGCTGCAATGCCCTGCTGATGCTTACAGTCAGCAATCATCAGACTCTCTCTCTCTCTCTCTCTTTCTCTCTCGATGACGCGACGATGGAACAGGCGTTCGTTTCGACCCATTTCTGAAGTCAAAGATCCCCGACGCGATCTAGCAACATGCATTGTGAATGTCTACTCTAACCGGCTTGCACGTTTCACCCTCGAGCCGATTCTTTCCGTTGTCCGACGGACACTTGGCGGGGTTACGTTAAGCTGTGCGCAATAAGAAATGTCAATGTCTCAAGAGAGGATTCCTGGCCGACTATTCCGCGATGGAACTAGGTGAGTTGGACGACGTGTTGTGCTCCACTCGTCGGTTTCATCGGCGAGGACTCCTCATCTGCCTCCTCTCTTTCGACCAACGACCGCGCCTCTTTTCAACATCTCTCTCGTCTCGTTTGCGCGACACGTATGCCGGAAACGCGACTCTTTTCACGTCTTTTTTTTTTTTTTCACGCGCGTGGAAGCCGCTGGTTTAAAGAAGACGTGGTAGTCGCCATCGTTTCACAGGGGGCTAGTCAGTCTGGTCGCGAAGTAGGTTGCGTGTTTCGCTCGATTTCAAAGAAACGAGAGATTCGAAAGAGGAGGAGACTGGAGGGTTTTGAAGACGAGTTTTTCGCGAAGACGATTGGTGGTGAGCTGCTGCTTGTCGGGGTACTCTGGAGGGTTCGCGACGAACACCCGCCGATAGGTCTGTGACTTTTCAAACGTTCTCTTTCTCCGTGGTGCGTGTCTCGATGATTAGGACGTTTCTAGACAAAGGACGATTCGAACTAACATTTTGTTCGATTTCATTTCCTTATCGCCTGTGAAATATGAACTTTTTAACTATTTTTTACTCTTCATTTACGTCATCGAACACTGTGGGATTTGAAATTTTTAATTTAATTCAATTTTCTTAGTTTGGCGTTAAATATCCAAATGTTTGAATTAATACGATCGTGTATAGCTCAACGATGCTAAAATTTAAATAAGAATCGAGTGAAAAAGATGGATGTATCAATGTTGGAGAACACGACGCGATCACTAGACGACGAAGATTCCACGAAGGGCTTTCGTTGGTGGATTAATGCGTGGGGTCTGCGTTCCCGCAAGAACCCCACACTACCAAAAATTTAACGCACAAATACTCACATTAGGAGTACTTACAGGCTTCAGCTTGTGGCCTCATGCCTGGGGGAACCACCTCGTTGATCATGGTATCCCCTACGCCAGGTTAGTATGGCGCGCACCAATTTCCGGCTCCGTGATTAGCACTGACGACTACGTACTCACTTTCGAGAAATTATTCTCAAACTGAAACTCCATCCATTGGCAATCAAGCTGAACTATTTGTGATAATTGAATAACGAATTATCCGATCGAATCACAAGATGGCCAAGAAAATTCTCGCGTTTTTTATTTCATTCTCATCTTTCTCTGGAGGGAAAAATTGTTATCGTGGAATGGATTGCAGAGAGTTTCGTGATTGTGTTATCACTCGAATGTTTTGGTATCGTTGGATACAGATTATTGTGGCAATTTATGTTAGGTCATTGAAATCTTGGATATTTCATATTCTTGCTGATAGAGGTTAACATTACAAAATTGAATCAAATTGAAAATCGAAATATCTCGTCGGAGAGTTAATTTACATTTGTTGAACATTTACAATTTATGAAAGAATTCTAGCGTTGCAACTTTTGCACTCGTTTCTTTGATTTACGAACGTTTCGACGAGATCGCGATTGGTTTGCCTTCGTCGTGCAAAGACACGTCAGAATTTCGCAAACATGCACGCGTGGAAAATGTGTATCGCCCGACCCTTGGCGTGTAATTCTCGAATCGACGCGTGCAACCGTCTCCGTCTGTCGGCGAAATTCCCTGCCTAAATCGGGGATATTGTGAGCTTGATTACTTCGATATAGATATTGCGTTACAGCCGTGGCCTACGGGGGCGTATAATCGAACTACACGAAGTCTCGTAAACTCGATGAACTTGAAAGACGAGCCACCGTCGAAGTCCTGAATTTCTGATGGCGTGCATTGTTAGCATTTTGGAAGCTCCGTTTCCCTTCGTTTCTCCGTCGCTGTTGCTGTTGCTGTTTCGACCCGACCATTTCCTCCCTTGATAATTGATTTCCCGCGTGTAAACGAGTGATCGAGACGCCGGGCGCTGCGAGATGAATTTTTAAGTTTTCCTTTCCCCGCGAGGTCGGACGAACGATGACGTATTATGATTAAGGAGGTCAGCAACGAGAGAGTTTTGCAGCGAGTGAGAAATATCTTTGAAATTAAATTAAATTGGAGGAAGAAAAGTTTTTTAGTTGAGGATTAAGTGAAAATCGAATTACAAGTTGTGTCACGATTCCACGTATCTGACAACATAGTTTGCAATCATCTGTACTCGTTAAATTTTCTTTTTTTTAAGGCAATAATCACGATCTGATATATCCACTGAATCAAATTAAAAAAAGATCGCGAAACAAGAAGCAGGTAAATATCCGATCCGATCAAGTCCATGTTAATTTTTCTCGAAAACAGCAATTGCTGTCTTTAACGCGTTAAGAAAGAAATCTATATCTACGATTATATGCAAATCCAAATCACCGAAAATTTGACAGGCTCGCGAGAAAAACTGGCAATCTCATCGATGGCCCATTAATTCCCAGTAATGATCCAATTACCGGGGCCAGAGTCAGCCCTTTCCAACAGCCATTCACCACCTTGCAGCGTGTTCGTGCGCATCGGTCACGTTCCAGGGCATTGAGCAACATCCAAGTGTACCTAGCCTAACTGAACCGTAACCAGACCGCCGTCGCAAATCAACCCCACCGCCCCCTCAACAGGCCAAATATTAATTCGATCGAGTTTGGTCGTCGTAGTAACCGGTAAACACAGGTTCGCGTTCACTCGTCGAAGACTCGCGATGTTGAAACGTTCGGACGTCGCTCTAACCTTCAGAACACGAGTCGAGATGAGTTTCTTCAAAGTGGAGGAGGTGCAGTGCGGACCTCTGAAGCCGAGGAAGTATCCGCCAGCTGCTGTTGGCAGTCCGAACGCGTTCTGGGGATACAGGCTGCGCGAGCGGTCCGGTTGCAAAACGACGAAGATCCCGCAATCGTACGAGGAACATCAGCGACAGAGGCAGAAGGAGTACGAACACCTGACGAAACTCTTCGAGTTCGAGAACCAAACGAACAGTAAAATCAAGAGGAAGAGCGTTCGGCAGCGTGTTCAGCAAGGTACTAGCGAGGATTGTTAGGATGTTGATGATCGGCAGGATCACGCGTTGAAGTAAGAGGTGCGTGGATAGAATTAGACGTACTTGTCGTTTCAGGGTATTTTCAAGAGTGTGCAGGGTATCGCAATGTTCTTGAAATTAGGCGCGATCTTTTTTGGAGAAAGAGGGAATTGAAAGTTTCGTAGATTTTTGAAAACTTTGAAACGATCGTAGGCAATTGTTAACGCAGCTCTGTTTAAAGGAGAGAGAGAATAGAAATTATTTTAACTATCAAGAGGATAGATTATTCTCTCCAGAAACGAACGATGGGATGCAAAGAAAATTCAACGAATTCTGCGTTTAGAGTTTAAGCTTTGTCAAACCTTCCTCTTCCATTTTCAATAAAAAGAAAAAAATCCCTTAAAAACTCATCTCGTTCTTTTGCTCCCATAAAATCGCCGTCAACGAGCGACAATTTCTTCAGGATTGGCGTCGTTCGAGGAAAGCGTGAACGCGCGGCGCGAGAAACTGCGCGACTTGCTGTTGAAAGAAGAGATGGGTCTGATCCACGAGGTGATACACCAGGCACAACACGGCGACGACGCGAGGATGGACGACATGCGGCAGAGAATAGAGGAAATCCAGAGGGAGGAGGAGGAGAAGCGTTTAGCAGTGGTAGCCGCGAAGCGAGTGCAACAGCGTGTGGCCCAGTCGCAGGAGATTCGCGAGAGAATTTCGAAGAAGTCGGTGGTCGACGCGAAATTGGTCAACTTGGCCCAAATGGCGGACAACGAGGCAAAGAGACAAGCTGACATTGAACTGGACAATCTCTGGCATCAGCTGATGCTGAAAGAAGTGGAAGCGAAGAAGCAGAGGGACGTGGAAGAGGCGAAAAGGCGTTGTCTCACGGAACAGTCGAATCTGACCATCCTTGCGAACCAAGTGGCGGGGAAACTGGCTCTCGAGGAGCAGAAGAAGCAGATACACGTGGAAGACAGAGAGCATATGCAACGTCTGTTGGAGAAACTTCGTCAGGAAGATCTGGAGAACGTCGAGAGGGAGCGTCGGAAGCGTGAGGAGCTGAAGAAGGATCTGCAGGAGCAGATTCTGATGGCGAAGCGGAAGCTGGCGGAACAGGCACGTCACGAAGCGGAAATGGACCGCTTGAGAGGGACCATCGCCGCGGAGGAATTGGCAAAGGAACGATCTGACATCATAGAGTCCAGTGCCGCTCTTCGTAAAGAGTTGCTCGCTTACATAGAATATTTGGAGGATCTGCGGAAAGAGGAAGCTAGGAGAAACGCGGAAGTGGACAAGATAATAGAGAAGTCGTTGCACGACGCCGCTAGCAAGCGCAACCAAGTGGTGCAGAAGTTTAAAGCGGCCAGGAGGAAGATTCTGGACGACGTTCTGCGTGGTCGCGAGCAACAGTTGAGAATGAAGAACGAAAACGAGAAGAGGGAGATGGAAGCACGTCGATTGGAGAAAGAGACGTTGGAGAAGCAGATAGAATCGGAGGCGAAGTTGACTGCCTACGCGAAGAAGGAGAAAAAGGAGAAGATGTTGTGTTATAGAAAAGATTTGGAGGAACAGTGGAAACTGGCGGAGGACGCGAAGCGTAGAGAAGCTGAAGAAGAGAAGAAGATGTACTTGGAAGAGCTGAAACGTCAGGAGGAGTGTGAGAAATTGACGGAGGAGTTGTTGGAGGCTTCTGAGATTGTTGTTCCGCATCCGTTCAAGATTTTGCTGAGGGAATGCGCGGCTCGTTACGCTGCGGAGAAAGAGGGACAGTGTTACTGTCCGCCACCACTAGACGAAGAGAAACAATGTACGCGTGAATTTGAATGATGACAGATATGCAATATACGTTTTATTATATTGTAAATTCATATACATTGATATACAATCTTGGATGGCCCTCATACTGCATGAATTTTTGGTCCATTACGTGTACGTCATTCATCGATTATTAAAAATATTTGGAATTAATTTTTAATTTATTTTTTATTTTTCGCTTAACACGGTTTTTATATGACACAGAAATGTTACAGAAGGGTCGAAAGTAAATTTAATTTTCCCGCTCCGGCAGGATCCACGATCCATGCGATGATCTATAGCTCCGTTCGAGCTGCACGCACCATCTGTGCCATCGTCCGAGAAACTTCGAACGCGCTCGTCGTCAAGGTAGAACTCTGTTTCGTTATCGATCCTTCCTTCTTTTTTCCCCTGTTTTTCGCAGCGCGCAACTTGCTGGCGCGACATTTAAAAATGCCGGGCACGAAAAATCGCTGGGAAATAAACTTGTTGTTCGACGCAACCTTTACGGCTGAGAACGTCGTTGAGGATAAACGTCGGCAGAAAAAAATTGGCGATGCTGCAACGATCAGAAAATCTGGATGGGAAAACGGCCAATCGACGCGGAATAGTAATGAGCGCGTGGATTCGTGGCAAACGAATTATACGAAACGATGCGAATAAAAGCGATCGTAAAATCCAAGCATCGGCGTGAATCGCGCGTAAATAATTCTATCGTTGATGCTGAATTATTTTTAGCGACGCTGCGGTCGTGATATTCGCAGTAAAATAATTACGCGTTTCGGGTTGAAATGTCGCATCTTTTTTTTTTTTCCTCCTTTCTTTCGCCGGCGAGATTTACAATTCGCTAAAAAACTGATTCGTTCTCGCGCCTCGAGCTCTCAACGATTTTTTCTTCTCCCTCTTTTTATCGTTCCTTTTTTCTCCAAATATTTTTTATCCTTTCGTCTTTTATTTTCTTTCGATACATATTTACAAGAGGCACTGGTCGAATATCCGCACGAGTTGTCGCGCCAACCACCTTCGGGCGGTTGCTTTGAAATTCACGGCGAGCCAACCTGACGTGCAAATTGACACACCGATTGCATTAAATAACATAACTTGTCCGGGCGGGACGCGTCGCGCTTAAATTATCCGCCGTTTCGTTCGATTATCGGAAAACACGCGACGCGCGTTGAAAAGGAGAACTGATTTAATGAGCGCGCGCGATCAAAAATTAAACACGAATTAATCGCTCCGCTTTCCAAGACCAGTCTGCTCGCCGGTGATTTAACGCAAGCTCCGGGAAGATGCATCGTGCTACTCTCTCTCTCTCTCGTTCCTCGTTCTTCTTCATCGCCTGTGGGCTGCTTCGAAATCTCTCGTTAATAATTTAACAGCAGAATTACCAGAGTGATCGAAATCACCAATTCGCAACTTTTTCGTAGAGATTTCACAGATTTTGAAACGATGCGTTTCCATTAGTGCGGACGATTTTTCGCCAAATATCACGATGAAGAGACTCTGATAGAAATTTTATTTATGCTTTTAGCCGATGATGGATCTAATATTAATAATCCTAATTTTTCTTTCTATGAAAATATAAATTGCGCGGTCAATTGATAAATATATTATCGGACAGGTGTTGTATCTAATTATAAAAAAAAAAAGGGTGAATATTTTCTAAAAAGTTTCGATTTTTTACCAGCGTGGCAGAAAGGGTTGAAAAGTTATCTCTTCACAGCTGGTACAGCATTTTTTAAATTAGTACGCAGTTCACGATTGTCGTTTACCTGACCTTCGTACGACCTTCAATTGCCTAACGCTCGGATACAATTTTTGTTTTTTCTTTTCATTCGCCTTCCCCTCGGGCGATTTCTTTGTATCTTCGAAAGCGACGAAGGTATTCGAGATATTTCTGATAAATGATACAATCTGTATTTCGCATTATACGTTGAATAATATCCCAAAGAAGTCTAGCCCCGGTTCTCTTTACCACGGTGGAAGCTGCTACAATAATGCACTTTCATGTTTCCACTCGCTGCAAAATTGCTCTTTATGGTCACCCGACGGAGGTAATTTCCAGGAGGAATTTTAAGATTAAACGACGCAACCTCCGACCAACCCCCGTTCAATTTTTCCCTCGTCGGGCTACGCGGTATTCCCTTAACAACACTCCGTATCAAGAACTACCCACCCTCACTCCCCTCCTCTCTTTCCTCTCGAAACCGATTGCATAAATCGAACCACGGCATTATCGGTCACAGCTGAACTTGCCGTGCGAGTTCTCGAACGGCGGCCGCAAAATAGAAACCAGCAATCGCTGGAAGTTGCTTTATTTTCAACCTTTTGCTGGCAAAAACTTTCTCGATTCTGATTCTCGGGAGATCGTTGATATTTTTCATTACATATCGCATTGGGGATACAGAAAGAAACATATCGTTTCACGAAAATGTTTTTTAACAGTAACTAATGGTGTAAACAATTTTTATAGTATATTTGTAGTACAACGCTCATCGTACGTAGCAGCGACATTCGGCTTGAGAAACAAAAAAAAAAAAAAAAAAAGAACTACCGTCCGCAAAAGGGTTAGAACTTTCCGACAGACGCGAAACTCAATTTCCCTTTCTAGCGTTCCCAACGTGGCTTTAACGCGATAAATTCAGCGAGGTCTAGCCCCGCTCTGTCCCCGATGGAACCCCCATAAAAAATCTCTTTTCGCCGAACTCTTTGGCAAGAGCGGGGAGACGCTTGTGCAAGGAAGCCCAACAGCTCGCCCCATTTATATTAAAACGCATCCCGGTGTGGCTATATTAAAATATTTCCGTTCGGTCGGCGAGACGCGTCCCATAATTCCTGCGGGTGACGTCGCGTAGTTGCGAAAGCGTTCACCAGAGTGGAAAGCCGGAAGTGGGTGGCGCGCTCGCTCGCGCGCTTGTTCGCGAGGTGGTGGTGCGGACACGTCGTTTCCAAGCCGAAGGCCGTTTAACGCGGAATTTCAAGCACGAATACGGTTCGACGTGGTTGCCGGTCGCGTGTCTTTCGTGCACGACGAGGCAACGGCTCCTTCCCAATGGTTTCGAGATTACGGCCGTTCATTCTTACGTGGTTATCTTTATAACCAACGTCGGGGGGGGAAACTTGCTCCAACCTCTTGCCTCTCGACTTTCCAGGCGATCTCCTTTATCGACCCTCTCGCCTGCCTCCCGCCCGCCCCTCGCCGACCACCGGACGCGTTTCTTTTTCCCTCGTTTTCTTATTATTTCCTCGTTTTTTCTTGGCAGACTTCACCCTTTGCGCGGTTTTTTTTTTCTCCTTGCACGCGCCAAGGACCCGTCGGAGCGATTAATTGATTGGCGGCACGGTCGAAGGGGTGACTTTAGAGGGAACTGGGGGCGTCGAAGGGCTTTTTTTAAACCGTTAAGGGCCAACTTCGCCTTAACGCAACATTTCATTTCTAGTTGCTTTCGATTCATTTACGCTATCGAATTTTATTTTTTAATTGAGACGAGCAAAGTATATATTCCCGAGGGATTTCGTCGTTTTGGATATCCTATGATCTTGCGTAATTTAACGAGACTCGATTCAATTTAACGAAGTTCATACGCTGGCCGTAACATACGTTGAATTAAATCGATAGAAAATCGCGCGTGTTCAAATTTACGTGTGCTTCGTGAAGAAGAATCGCGTGAAAATCGCGAAGCCTCCACTTTCACAATCCGCGGCTCATTTTCTTCCCCCTCGAGATGCGTGTACATCAATCAAACGTGATTTTTCTTTTGTGAAAAATTTTGCAAATTAAATTTGTGCCCTCTGCGAAATTTTTTTCACGTCAAAATTCGTCGTGAATTTCAAGATTTCGACGTGCGACTTTTTTTTCTTTTCTCGAGAAGAAGAAGTACGTTCACTTTCGCGCCCGCTGCATGATGTACGGATGTTGTGGCTGTAGATTGCGAAAACGGAAGCATCACGCTTCAAAATGAGGCCAAGCAGCGAGCGTTGTAGTATTATTATCTTTTCAGACAGAAAGTTACACAGTTTTAATAATCCTTCATTCAAAATTAAGCGATCCTTTAATTTTGACCACGCCGGCGATAAATCATTCGCTTCGCTTTTAACGAGTCAAACATTTATCGCCAAATAGTTAATTCGTAGAAGACGAGAGTAGAGGAATAGTTGTTCATTTCTTTTCCCCCTTCTCTCTTCTTTCCTCTTCGCGAGATTAAATAAAGATCTAGGAGGTTTCGAAGTTTTCGAATGTTGCTGGAATAATTGAATATTCGCGGCCGGGAATTGAATAATTAATCGGGGCGCGGGGAGAGTCGATAAACAACTTTTTTAAACTTGCAGAGAAGCCCGTTAAAAATTCATTAAAACATTCCTCGAAGGAGGCTGATTGGCCCGCGTGACTCCATTTACTACGTGTGTATTAAAATATTCACTCGAACGCTCCTCGCGGGAGACTTACCATCGCCATCGAGGTCCATCGACCGGGTTAATCGATTAGTTGGTCTACTTAACCCTTTGTCAGAGACTTAAAAGAACGACTCCATAAAAGAATGTACATCCCTCCGTGAACGAACCACCATGAAGATTTGCCCTTTCCTCGCGATTTTCCGAGAAATTTCGAATCGTATTGGAGTTATATTGAATCTTGTTCCAATAATTTCGTTATTACTTTGTACCACAGCCTGAGAAGCTACGGTGAAACACTTTGCAGAATCGTTCGATTATGCATCGATCGTGGATATTTATGCAAATTCTCAATTTGCCCGAGACAGAACGAAAAATATGGAGAACATGAGAATAGAATGTAACGATTTAACGCTCTGCTTTGAATATTTGCTTTCGCGTATTACGCGCGTTTTTTGCTGCTTTAGATTTCCCATTAATGCTCAAGCATCCACAGTCTAATTATGGTCGTAAAAAAAAAAAAAAAAAATGGGATTTCTACCGGTGTTTCCAGCGCGATCGTTTTATTGTCACGTTTGAGCAGTATATAATCAGACACGTGGAATGGGTTCAAAAATAAACGATAGCCGCGACGCGTATTGCTCCACAGGGAAACCAGAAACATTTACCCTAGAAAAAAAGGGAAAGAAGTGAGGTAAACCCGACAGATGATTAAAAACAATTAATTTTTATTCCCGTTTGAAACTTTAGACGACGCGTTCGCGTTTATTGTATATAAT